GCTTTGTTATAGAAAGAAGGACAAAGTCATCAGCATAAAGTGGGCAGTTGACAGGCGATTTGGAGGATCACAATCAAAATTGAAGCTGTTGGGAAGGTCATTTAGAAGAAGGTTAAATAGAGTTGGACTGAGATTACAGCCTTGTTTGCAACCAATATTGAAGTTAAATGAAGTTAAAAATATTAACTATTAAATGGTTCTGTTAGCCCTTTTTTACATTTAACTTTATACTTTATTTTACTATACATGTTTGTAATAATTGTATACATGTGGTCAATAATACCGTTATTGAGAAGTTTACGAAAGAAGCCATTACGCCAAATGCTATCAAACGCCTTTAGGAGATAAATAAAGCTGGCATACAATTTATTGTTCTTTTAATGTTATGGTAAATGTATTTGTTAATAAGTCTTTTTGAGATCAAAATAGTGTCTGTCGTCCTACATTCACGCCTAAATGTAAATTGGTTATTTGAAAGGATGGTTTTTGTTTTGTTCTTATCAATGTAGATAAGATAGAGAGTTGGTAACCTGTCTGTAAGGAGAGAAGGATGAAAATGGGTGAATAAAGCTGCACTATCTGTAATATGTATTCCTTTGTGTCGAGCCTGGTGTTATCAGCAAAGCGAGACGAAGTTCCCCGATCCCCGAACAGGAAGCTCCTGTTCATAACAACAGATTCAAGCCTACTTTTTGGCTCAATAACTTGATGTGGTGATAAGCCATGTAACAAATAACAAGTAACAGTGATTTACAGATTTTACACTTAATTGTCAACTCCACATTGTCTTTTTTATTTGTTTTAATTCGAAAAAACCCAACTGCAACACTTAGCTTAGCCATTGCCTGCCCCATTGTCCCAACTATCGACGCAGCTGACATGAAAAATATTAAACTGTGCGTACTGTAATATTAAACCAGTCTGTAAGGCGACGCTCTATTCCACTTCTTTCTTGTCAATTTCATGTATTTTGCTCCATAAATGTCACATTTTTGGATCAATCGTGAAGCTGTGCAAATTGAATTAGTGCTGAGGTCCAAAGGCGGTAAACCGTTCTTGACTTTTCCAGAATGCACAGATTATCAGTTCAGCCCTGGTTGTCTTAGTGATAGCATAAACCCTAGGGTTGATGTGCCGGCGATCGTAATTTGCATAAAATGGACAGGTAGTTGTTATCAAATATGTCATGGTTTGCCCAACAATCCTTTGGGTTCTATTCTTTCGATGATGATTCTATGATTGGGATGTTCAGAAATCCAACGCAATGGCAGCCATCACCGTACAACACACTCAGCCTCGCCTTTGACACTCAACCAAGCCACATTAAATGCAGTCAGCACCCGAGGTAAATACACTGATCTTTCTGACTTTTACCCCAACGTCACTTTGCCAAACTCTGTAACCACAAATCTAAGCTACATCTCCTTTGACCCATCACTCACCTGTTTTACGACCTAATAAGCAAAATCGACATATTTGAATCATGGATTGAATGCTACCTAGCATATGCCCTATCACTTATTCTATTTCCCGGAAGACGCCATTCCTTAAACTATAATAAATATGCTAGCTTTCCTGTCCCACGAGTAGCGACCTACAAGCCATAAGCTTGGTTAACTTGTGATAGGCAATTTTTATTGGACGCAAGGTAAGCACTAAAGTTCATCTACCAATGCACCCTCTTACCGAATATCTAGATCCACCAGTGTTCCTGGACCACACCTGATCGTTCCAATCTGTGTCGGGTGCAACTATAAAGGACATGTCAAATCAGAATACTCTCAACACAGATCATCTAACCCATACTACTGGGGCAACCAACAACAACAAGCCAGCCACCCTATCAGACAAATGTGTCGTGACTTCAATAGAGGGTTCTGCAGAAATTCATGCACCAAATGGACACCAACATACATGCTCCATTTGTCACGCACCCGACCATGGTGCCCACACCCACCAGCAACAACCATTCAACACAACTTAAAACTTTTTTCGTGTCACATACTCTTAGACATTTCAAACAGTGTGGACTCTGAATGCCAAGTCTTCACTTAATGTGACGTTTTGGAGACTACTTTATTGCATGCATCAAAATACATACTTTTGTGGTGTTATATGTCACCTGATCACCCGAGTGTATTGATATGTAAAGAGAAGTGCCATTGGTGTAACTGAAAAATAGCGGAATAAACAAGACGTTGAACTTGAAAGCCCTCTGGTTTCTTTGATGTTTGGTGTATTCCTATGTCAACACATCACACTCAACCACAAAGACATTGTCTCACAAGCTGTAATGAAGGAGGTTAAACTAGGGGACACCATTGGTCCATTCACCAGGCCATCCCTACCAAACTTCGTCACAAACTCTCTTGGAATCAGCCCAAAGAAGGCAGGTAGTCACCGACTTATAATTCAACATGCGTTCATGTCTGTACGGATTTAAATGAGACGATCATTACTACTTTGACTACATCCCGCCATTTGGCCTGCGCTCTGCACTTTTCCTATTTATTGGCTCGCCTTAGCACTGTCATGGATAGTCAGACATCAAGCGAAAACAATTGACATCATACACTATCTTGACGACTTTCTAGCTGTCAGCCCACCTAATCATCAATTCTATCAATGAAGCATAGACATAGTTCTAAACACCTGCTTCTCACCATGGATTTCCATTAATGCAAACAAAGTCAAAGTCCATCATCTGTTATTACCTTTCTTGGTGTTGAATTGAGCATAATTGATATGGCCATCCACGTATTAGCCGACAAACTGGAAAGCATCTTAACTTCTATCCACTTCTGGCTAACAGGTATTACTGCTCCAAACGTGAACTCCTGTCACTAATTAGAACACTAAGCTTCACATGTAAATGCGTCTCTGCAGGACAGTTATTTCTATGATGCACGATAGACCTCGTCACCACTGCTTCATCACTCAACTATACCATAATCTTTTCCGACGACTTTTACCTAGATCTGCAATGTTGGTGGTTTTTCTTCCAACCTGGAATGGCTCTGCCTACATTCTCGCAACTTCATAGTCTCTGATCCCAAATATGAATCTCTACACACATGCTTCATCTGTCATCACCTGCAGGGCCTTCTACAACATTGGTTCGCCCTGGTTACCAGACAAATGTTCTATCAACTCTCCCTTTTCAATTGAATGAAAGAAACTTTTTCCTATACTAATTTCATGTTTGATTGAGGCCACCCATTGAATGGGCCAACAAATCATGTCTCACTGTGACAATGAAACAGTCGTCAATATTTGGAATAAAAAGGTTCTACGCGATGTCATCATGTCGCTCTTGCTTGCCATTTTCTTTGTTACAGCTAATGGCAACTTCTACATATTCAGGGTACTAACAATTCAATTGCTGACTCATTGTCTCGTTTGCGTGTTTGTTTAGAGATCTTCTAAGGCAAGAGTTACAATGTGAAATTGCTTTGTTTACATCTGTTGAGGGTTCCTTCTGTAATACTGATTCAATTTCTTTGGCAAATTCTTCTGTGACAATAGCTTGAATGCGACGATAAGTTATTTCTTTTTGTACAAGTGGAGGCTTGGGTAATACCAGTTCTATGCCAATAGGAAAATGGTCAGAGACATAGATGTTATCAATGACAACTTAGCGAATGATGGTGTCTATATTAGTGAAAACCAGATCTAGAATGTGGTAGCGGTTGTGAGTAGGTGCACTGACCCACTGAATGAGGTTGCAAGAGTTGGTTAATTCCTTAAATCTATGAAGATCAATGGAGGATGATGAGGTTGTCCAATGGAAATTGAAATCCCCAGTAATAATCAGACTGCTAAAATATACAGAGGATGCTTCCAGGAGAGACCCAAATTCATCTAAGAAATTGGAAACGGTGAATCTATTCTTTGAATTTCGAGGAGG